ATCTGAAAGATACGAGAACTGGTTATCAGTGAGAAAACAATGCACATATGGTTACGTGAATGTCAGATAACATCATATTACAAAGATATCATTGCTGTTATTGGCGACCCACTTACTTAGCTAGAATTGCCCTTATAATCACTACGTCTGTCTGTCTGTCTGTCTGTCATATGTTGGTTTCGACTTAGCTTTTACCAACTATAACAAAGTGTGCAGTTTTACCAGTTAACCCATTGCATTGCGAAATATATGCAGGTACAGTTAACTGGCATATTTTCGAATTGAGACCATAGTGATTTTTAAATTTTTTATTTTTTTAAAAAAATTGGACTATTATTGAATTAAATGTCAGCCTTTATATTATCATCTTTCAAAGAACAAGAAGAATGTGGAATAATTAATAAGTAGTGACATAACGATGATTTTGAAAAATGTGCACATTATAGTTCTAGATCTGTAAATGCTCGTTTATAGTTGAACTTTTTAGAGGTGTTTTTTGTGTATATTAGAAGACAAAATATGAAAAGACTGGTTATTATAATAAGAAGGTATTCCTCTTCAATAAAGTATATTACTGTGATTGGTAAACAAATCTAAATAAAGTGACGATTTTCTTTTGTCAAATGCTCTGATCGAACTGCCTTGACAAGTCTGTATTCTGGTGTCTTGGAAATTCCAATCCATTTATGATAATCCAAGTACGCAGTTACTGAGCGGAGGCAAAAATATCGCGGTTGGTATGTGATAACCCTAATCGACCAATCAGACGTGCTATAGTCTTTATTCCAAGTAAATGTTATACATTATCCATTGACAAATTTATTGTTAGTTACAATAATGTGCAACATGTAAGTGATAGGGTGTGTATGTGGCATATTCATGGCATATGTATGACATGTGTGCAACCAATGCATGGTATGTGTGCTGCATATGTGTGGCATCTAATTTGCATGTGACATAAGAACAGGTTTACAGGGGTTGCTGGTATACAAATACATTTGTAAAGTTTGATGGCATGATATCAGGACAGTTTGTACAAGGTTTGTGAAATTACTGACAGAGTTTATGATGCCAACAACTGAAAACAAAAAAAATCACAGAACAAACTGAAACATTCCAATTAACTTTTGACATTCTTCCCAGTAATAAACAGAAACAATGTGTTTCTATAATTAGGCTTCGTGTATGATTTCAAAAAGCAACTATCGAATAGCAAACATTAGTATTAAAATAATTGAGTTGGTTGTAGATCGTGAAAATCTGAAAGTATCCTGTATGGATGCTTGTTCGTGTATGAATGTCAAAATGTGCTCTAACTATTTAATAGAAACCCTTCAAAATGTTATTTTCTATTTTTAATTTCTTACTACTATAATGTATGAGAATCGATGGGATGGGGGGATTTTAATGAGAGATGGTGTTGTATCTTGCCTGTATATACAATGAGGCAGTCATAACCAAACACTCGTCCACTTACCCACCCAAAACAACGCAACTGTGCACCCCCTCACAAACCCTAAATGCACACTCACCCTACTCTCATATCATTTTTACCTGTACATATTGTTGTAATATCTGTGCAGGCTTCGTTGTTGCTTGTATCACCATCCGGACTTGGATCAGTCTGCAGTACAATACATACTCTTGAATAATTCGCACAGTGTCCTGCATCCAATGTTAGGGAAATCGTTGTATCAGTGATTTCAGTAGCACCTGCAGCTGCTGAAGATGCGCCAGTAGCATCGACTATATTTGATATTGTTGAAGACGTCGGATCTGCAAAGTAGCCTTTGACACTAGTGACTTCAACCCCGCCATTTGTTGAACTTAGTCCTATTATTGCAGTTAATTGAGTCTCTGTGTTGACGATGTAGGCTGTACCTGGCGAGGGAGTAGTTATTGTCAATGACGTCGCCGCTACATCTGAAAGAAATTAGAAGAGACTATATACGAGTCAACCAGTTATTTTATTATGGATAAGAGGGCATTGGCAGTTATATAGACCCATTAAATAAATCCAAATTTAATGGGATTGCCATGTTGACAGCTATCTATGACAGTGTTATTGTGTCGTTTATTTATTGTCTGTTTCATTAATTCATATATTTTGTTTGTACTTTTGGATACATGTTGGTGCCGACGTAAACAGCAGCAATAACCACTTGGATGAAGTTGTAAACTCTATGGAATGCTGATGTTAGAAGAACAGGTGGCCTCGAATATCCCCATTTTCAAGACAAGAAATGAAGGTAATTTAGTTAAGGAAAGTACACTGTAAAATGTTAACAAATCCAAACATTTGTTTTACAGATTATAATTAGTTTTCCCAGTCACTATAACATATATGCTATGCATACACAATTTATACAAATATGTTCATGCCAGATGTTATAACAATATCACAAGGGCACCTGTTAGTTGTAACAAGGCAACCAAATCCAATTTGACACGACCTGTTTAATAAACAATAGCTGTATTGTACATATAAAAAGAAACTTAGCTTACTGAGTTGCACGATAAACATGCACAAACAGGTATAACGAGGTAATGTTAAAACGTCATTCCAAGTAGTCCCTCTCTACCTTTTCTATCTTTTCTAAATTATAAAAAAAAAAACATTCTGCCCACTGAAGGCAAGGAAGATATTTGTTTTATTTTGCAGGAGAATTCGTTTAAGTTAAATACGCCGTCATTTCAAACGCCCAAGCATTATCTTGATAATATAAATTACAGTTTCTCTTGAGTTGTACTGCTTTTGTGCAGCGGTGTATGCCAACAAATGAGTAAAGGTGTACGCGGGGTTGTGGAAGTGAGATTTCACATGTTGATAGTACGACAAAGCATACAAAGTTTAATGACTTTTAATGGCGTATTAAAAAGAAACATAAACACGGAGTGTATACGCAATCATAGAAAATGATTTAACAAAGGATTAACTTTGTGTTATATGATTGAGGGGGAAATAAATCATATCAATTTTAAAATAAGAAATGTGTACCTATAATATTGCTAACAATATTTGACATTCTTAATGATCTATTATTAATGATTTCTCACTCGGATGGATTGCCTTGAATATGTGTTGTTGTTTCTGTTAACAAATGTGCAACCACTAGACTTGCAGCATCTGTACTAGATGCGACATTTTCTCGTATAAACATGTGCCCCTTTAGATCAATGCACTATCAATTGAATGTTTCACTTTTTTTTGTTTGCAAACAAATATTTATCAAAACAGAATAGCCTTGAAACACGTGGAGCTGATTTTCACAATTGCCCTGCTATATGAAAACAAAAGATTTATACATATTTATATAACATAAACAAAACACTAAGCAATCTATACTTTACGTACAGACATTAAAGGCAGTCAAATTTGACTTCGTTTTTTACAACCGTGGGTAGACTGTCCTAAATAACAGCTGCGGAAAAACGAAACATAAATTACCCTTTGTAGTGGGAATAGAAACACAATTATTTGTTTTCTGACGTGATAGTAGCCTTTTTTCAATTTTTTTAATGAGAAATTATGCGCTATTTGATGTTATCAAGTTTCCAAATTGGTACTAAAATCATAAATGGTTTCACACTTTGATGGGTTACCTTGGATGGTTGTCGTTGGTTCTGTTGTCGCCCGTACATCAACTGTACTTGCAGCGTCTGTAGATGTAATAGTTTCTTGGGTTTCTGTAAATCAATGTAATATTAAATCAATGGATCATATTTAATCAGAATTGGCTATTGTTGCTAGTCAGTACTATTTTTTATCATAATTTTTATAAATCATGTGCTAATTGATATTAATAAATTAAGTTTCTAAATTGGTATGTGTATCATATATGATTTCAAACAATGACGGACTACCTTGAAAGTGCGTTGTTTGCTCTGTTGTTATTTGTGCTTTCACTGTGCTTGCTGCATCCGTAGATATGATGGCTTCTCGTGTCGACATTTGTGCTCCTGTAAGTCAATACAATATTAATTCAATTTGGCATATTGAATTAGAATTGGCTATTGTTAGAACCGGATTTATCTTATTTACTAATGACAAATTATGTGCTAAACTATGTTATCAACATTTTCTGTTGACTATGAACTTCACAAATGATTTCACACTCTGACGGATTACCTTGGATATGTGTTGTTGCTTCTGTTGTCACCTGTGATTCCAACTGTACTCGCAGTATCTGAAGATGTGATATCTACTCGTGTCGACATTTGTGTTCCTGTATATCAGTGTAATATTGATTCATTGTGTCATATTGAATTAGAATTGCCTATTGTTACTCGTTAGTACTATGGGTTTTTTCGTATTTCTTGAGGTAGCGAGATTATTATTTGCAAACTTGTTTTCATCATCAATTGTGACTAGCTGTGGCCAACAAAAGACCTGGCAAAGTATATATTGTTAGAATCGCCATTGTTAAATCTTTTTAAAAATGCGCTCTTCATCTACGCAATCGGGTTGTATTTACGTATAAATCTGCTGTTAATTTTGTATGAACATCAAAAGGTGCGAGCCTATTGGAAACAACTTGACGGGACGGGCTAGCTACATTTTAGGGTAATTGATTTCAGGTTTCTTAATGGCTATGAACTTTACAAATGATTTCACACTCTGATAGATTACCTTGGATGTGTGTTGTTGGCAGTGTTGTCACCTTTGCTTCGACTGTACCTGCAATACGTGTACTAGATGTGAAATGTTTTTGTGACATTATCTGTGTTCCTGTAGATCCAATATTAATGTCACATGGAATAAGAACTTGTTGTTGTGAGTAATATTTATTGTCATATTTTTTACACAAAATATGCAGTAATTAATGTTGTCAAAAGTGGCTTAATGATTATGGGCATCACAAATTACCTTTAATGTGTACTGTTAGTTGTGTTGCCGCCTCTGCTTCCACTGTTACAGTAACATCTGCATTGGATGTGATCGTTTCTGGTGTTTAATAATAATAATAATAATAATAATAATAATAATGTCATCTGTGTGTGATTCGTTGCTAGTTAATATCACAGCAAGTCAGTTTAATTACCCCTATGTAGTATAACATATTAACATTATGATTAAAGGAGTACATATTTTGGATAATTCAGTAACCTATCGCACCAAAGATTATCTTTTATTAATACAATGGACGTACCGTATTTATACAAGACAGTGGATTATTCAAACTGAAATATATATATTTTATGTAAAAGTAATTGTACGAATTTCCAGCATATTTTTTTTTCTTCAAAAGTACAAGAGAATACAGGAGGGGCAACGACATGCTTTTCATTGTGTCATGGGATTCGACTGCATTTATTATGTTAAAATAAAGTACGAAAATATTGATTAATGTAGTTCTAAATGAGATAACAGACAGAAAACTACACTACAAACACAACTGGTAAATATTTTAATCATCTGCCAGATCTGAACAAAATCTTGCCACAAATGCCTGAATTTCAGTTCCACAATTATAGCATCGTTGCTTATTCGTCCATATTTATTAGATAGTGCATAACTTATGTGCATATATGTATCATGTATAGGTTTGAATGTATTTAGAAAACTTGTGATTGTCGAAGATATAGCGAGTAACTGTGTTCGTTAAAAGAAAATGACCATCAGTCGGACATTTTGTTTCCAATCAAAGTTACATACACCAATGTATGGGATGACCAATGTGTGTACACAACGGAACACATTTAAATTTATTTGTGCATAACCAAGATCCTATTTAAAAAATGACAAGAATGCTTGATTTGTATGCATATTTGACAGTAACGTGGTCACCGACTGACTACCTTGAATTAGCTCTTGAAACAAATGCAAATGAACTGGATTCGTTCAGCCATTCTGAGATCCATGACCTGCTGCATCAAGAGTCCATGATTTAAAATGAGAAGAATGAAATAAACACACGAGTTTTGGGCACAAACACTGCTACAATTCGATCATCTTGAATTGGATCACAGAACAAATACACGACCCGTCGTGTACATGTATCCCAAGACGTAGTATGAGTGTGATAATTTGAACATGAGCAGTAAAAACATGTCGGACATGACATGTTGACAGAAGCTCATACGTACAATTACAAGTTCCCGTTTTGAGGATTACAAATTTATAAAATTATTATAAGTGTTCCATTTAATTCCTGAAAATTATATATACAGTACATTAGAATGAAGCACATTTTCAACAACTTTATTGTAAAAATGAGAATGAACCATCACATGTGAATCGCGGATCGCCTGCTGCAATAAGAAATATTTGAATCGTTGTATGACAAAAAATAACATACATGCTCTAAATGGGCTACATATATCATTTGTGACAGAACTCCTCTGTTGTTTGGGAATTTTACAAACATTGATGCCCCTCTCAAAGATTCAACAACAATTTGTCAAATCGAATATATTACATTACAAGAATTATCTACATGGACAACGTGATATGTGACACAATTGATTTTAATTCAGCTAAGAAATGCTATGAAACTTCAAACGCACTGATGGTATTAGGTAGATTTAAACTTTACACTTGTGCCTCTAATGATACAAAAATCAATACAACTGTACGACGAGATGGTATATCTGAAAAGGGAAAGAACGCGAACCTATGTAAGAAATGACTATTTAACATAAATTGACAAACTCATCTAAGCAACGTGAAAGTGATATCATTGTCACTAAATGAACAATTGTACACTATATATTAAGATTATCCAATCCCGGATAACTCTCACCTGCGGAAATATGTGCAAAATTAATTTTTGGTTGGAATGATACGAATCCCGAATCCCGAATTCAAAGGATGGATGGCAGAATATTCGTGTTGAGTTGGGGCATATTATATTGGGGCAAAAACACATTATTACACTTCTGGGTCATGTAAACTACATCCTAGGTTTACCTATATTAATAAGGTATAACTCGGGTTAATAAGAAACGCACTACATTTCTTTCTTTCTTTAGACACAGTTTATATGTTAAAAGCTCGACAATAACAATAAGTCAATACAACTGTAAAATAAACTTGTATTCCCTGATCTTAATTGTGAATTGCTGTGTTCTTTTCCAACCAAAATATTGTTCATTAGCCGAAACATAGCCAATTGATAGTATTAATTCAGTGATTGTATGTATGCATTATTTAATAATTATTATAAAATATTCATTAAATAACAATTTAAATTGTGTTTTCAAATGAGACTTAATATTACATTTCTCAGATAAGTATCGAATTGTTCTGAGTTCGAACTAGCATAGGAAGTAAAGATTTTGTTTGTATTCTGTGATTGCACAAGAGGCATCTGCTTGTTATACAGAAATCAGCCCGAGAGTATGTTGTTCGTCTCAGTATAACTGTAATATAACCTGTGTACAAGGCTGCTTCAGGAGTTAGATTTACATTGGATATTCTCGGCACTATCGTTTTCAATGAATAACGATCATTTCAACATTCACATACATGTGCACAAAGCAAATCCTAATATTGGGTGTCACTAAAACGAGCAAGCGTTTTTCACTATCGCTGTCACCAG